CATGTATATAAAGACAACATATACATACACGTGCACCCAATGTAGCATGTGTCCATTCTTGGTGCTCCACGTGTCTGTTCTTTAACAAAACGAATCACTTCTTTATGCTTTTTAAATTGAAATGAGAAGCAACTTCAACATAAATATTCTCTTTCGAGAGTCTTCAAGAAGGCTCATTTGACTTCAAATTGGCAAATATCTGTTTCTTTAAGTTGTTAAGCTGATGATCAATCTCACTATGTCCTTCCTCATTGTTGGTGGAAAAGTATCAGCTGAATTATTCTTATATTATTGAGAGGATCTCTTAAATAAAAAATTAGTATTCAATCTATTAATTGAACAATTAGGATTCAACTTACTTCAATGCACTTAGTAAGTTATATAACTTTCTTGTTGGTAGATTTTATAATATGCATTGAAGTCTTGTTCTTCAAAATCAAAGTTTCTTTTGACATCAATTAACCAATAAGGCAATATTCCACCTATCGTAAAAGTCTTTTAAAATTCTTTCAACCCGGTTATTCGTACAACCAAATTATACTTTCAATGCTTTTTTAATTTACCCAAAATTTTAACTCTTTACTTAGGAGTCAAAAGGTCTTTTTAAAAGATTTCTAGATATTTATTTTCATATTTATTTTTTAATAAAAAAATTTTTAGACTTAGTTTATTCCAAATCATTACATCATTCACCACTATATTAACGCAGCTATATTAAGGTAATAAGTTAATTTTATTTAAAATGGCTAATAAAGACATAGAATTTAACTATGGGTTACAAATAAAAGCAATCCACAGTAAATTATTAAAAGATAACAAAAAGGAAGAAATTATTACCGTAACTGATTCGAAAAAATAAACATGAAAACGATAAGAACGAAGGGGCAGAAACTAAAAAACTAAAATCTGTTATGTAGTAAAACTGCGAGAAATTGAAGTGCGCTGTGTCCCTGTCAAAAAGAAATTGGTACAGCTACTGTGACAAAAGAAAAGTGCTGTCAAAAGCAGAGACCTCTGCTCTAGGCTAAAAACAACAAGCCATTAACATGTCTGCTCTGTGTCAAGGCTGTAATCTATGACAACCAATTGACACATATTGACTATTTCAATTGACTCCTACAGAGGTATATATGTTTTTGGTACGACATATGATAATACCATATACCTCTAGGTGATTTTAGCAAGTCAAGAACCCAAAAAAAAAAAAAAACAAAAAGAAAACCAATGTCAATCAGATTGCATTGGCCTATAAATCACAAGCACCCGTTTTAGGGAAAAAAGAAAAGAAAAGAAAAGAAAATCCCACGTTAATATTTTTCTCTCTGCTTCCTATTCTCCCTTCCACATATCTAACCACCTTTACCAACACCATCCATTAATTCTTGCATCTTCTTTCTCTTTCGTTCCACCGGATCTTCCTGCTTGTAATCTCTCTCTGCAATGGGGTGCGGTGGATCAAAGCTTGACCCCGAAGATGAGGCAGTGCCTCCGAGGCTACGTCCCCTTCTCCGCCGGAGGTTAGAGGAGATCAAGAAACGTAGACAGGCCACCGCCTTAAAAGGCGATGCACTTTCCAGGAAAGAGCTTCTCAAAAACGAAGTAGAAGACGACGATCATTCCGCCGTGCAATCTCTTCCTGATAATAATGAGACGAAGAGCTCGTCTTCCCGAGACGGTAGCATCAGGTCTGCTAAGGTGGCACCCGCCCCGGAGGAATGCCAAGAGGAGGCCGTGAATTGGGTGGATGTGGAAGGAGAGGATGAGGAAGGTAATGGCGAAGATGGGAGACTCAGCAATGTCGACGGTCGGCGAATTGCTCCTGGGTCACCGAGTTTCAGGGTATACTGCGTTGAAATGTCCGAAAGTGATAAGGAGGATTGTGAGTCTTCTTTACGTACAATATAATATAAAACTAATGAATTCTCAATTTTTTGCCCATTATCAATTATGGGGGTCATATATAAATGATTCTTGGATTAATTTTTGCAGTCAAGGATGACGACAGCTCGAACAAAAAATCACAGACAGATGATGGAAGCGTGAGCGATAAATCAGTGAGTTCTGCGGAGGTACGTGCCTTCTCAAACTCTTTATATTTTATAATCCAAATGTTGATAAAGATGAGATATTTCATGTTCTTTTGGGTGTGTACGTAGCTTGTTTATAAATTTAAATTTGGTCTTGAAATAATTTTAAACATTTTGGTATATAACAGTTGAATAATCTTGGTTTGTTTTATGTGTTACTCCAGCGATCAATTGCAAAGACAGAGAAGAAAGGAAGCAAGAGGAGAAGATTCAAAGGAGTATTACCAAAAGGAGGATCTGTGAAGCAACTATTCAAAGTTAAATCTTGCTACAACCCAGGTTGCGCTAGCAACCATGACGCACGTCTTCTTTCAGGAAAATCAGCTGCTTGATTACATATAAGCTAGGAAGAAAGAAGATAGAATTCCTAGCTATACATTTTCTTCAGCTTTCTCTTTTTGGGTTTCTTCTTTTCCCAATCTTGATTAGTACTTTATGTGTGCTTTTCCAAGCATAGGAATTAATTATCCTAAAGACTCATGTGCCCTTTTATATAGTCTCTAATCTCCTTTTATATTTTCCTGAGACAGAAGAAGACATGAGCTGCTCGGTAACCATTCCTTCCAGGTTCATGCTATGTACTCTGTTGTGAAAATATGTCAATTCTATCTCCTTCCGTGAGCAATGCATATCCTTGCTGCTTATGCAAGATTAATGCATGTCTGTTGTATAAAACAACAATATCCCAATCTTTACAATAGGATGATTACTTATATCCCTCACCTCATGCAGATTACTTATAATGTCCTCAAAGAATGTAAATAACCACAACATTACTTGCAAATTTATGCATCTAATCTCAACTTTTATCAACTATGAATGGAGTGGAGTCATTTCGCTGACCACATCAAAGTCTCCAAATTATAATATTGAGAAACATATACAAGATATAAGAGGATTACAATCAGATCCTTGTAATATAACATTTTTCTGTTACTATAGGTTCTTTTTCCATTGGTATATAACTTTCTAAGAAGTAAACTAACAATACCTATTTCGTCACATCAATCAGATTAAAGGAATTTAACTTAGTATAGTGCAAAATACATTCAAATAATCGAGGGATAAAATTCGCATCCTTCTACAACTTCGATAAAATATATATATATATATATATATATATATATATATTAACTTCATAAGGTTCACCCAAATCCAACTTGCTTACATCAATTAGAAAATTAACCAAAATATATAAAATCACTGTTTTATTCAGAATGTACTACTAAACTTCCTCCGTAAGAAATGCTGAAGGCTGCAACAACTAGCAAGCTCTCAGGTTTCTAAATTATGAGAACCGAACTGTAGTTTTCACACACCTTGGTCTCTCAAGTAATAATCAGCAGTACAAGGCTTCTTCAACCACTCTTCTGCCTCAATGTATTCAGCATTGTGGAGTGAAGCTGGAACCTCTGGGATGCTAGCTTGCACACTGTAGCTAGACCTGAATTAAGCAACTGCCATCAAGATCTTGCTTGACTTCTGCATGAAACACGGGAAGTTTTTCGGAAATAATCCCTCTTTTTTCATGACTCCCACGTCTGGAGGTCTCCCAAGCAAAGGAAATTCTGGAGTACCTCTTAGCCGTTGTATTTTCATTATTAGGACTTAAGAAATGTGTTGAATAAGCTCTTATTAAGCATAGTGATGCAGGAAATTGGGAGCTCCGCATTGCACTACTTTTTCCATTTCCATCTCCATATGAAAAGGGTAATTTCTCTTTGGAGAATTAGTACTCTGAAGTTGAAATTATAGATGTGTATATAACTATGTCATTTCAGAATTATAGTCTGCTTTCCTAACAAATTTATGTTCATTTTTCAAAAAATAAATAATAAAAAAGATCTTAGATTTAAATAAACATCTGAATGATCAATTACAGAAGAGGAAAAGAGGTTGTTACCTGCTGAGATTGTGCTAGATTGAAGATGATAGATGAAGTTTTGAAGATTTTTCCTCGTCGATTATCAATTCTACACCAGAGAGAAAGTAATAAGACTTTGTCATTTAGGAAATTTTCTTTCAAGAAATAAAGAATAATAAAAGAGTTTTTATATGAAAATACAAACAAAAGTTGGCTGCAACAACCAACCAATTCTTTTAATCTTCTCCCTCAAAATAAATATCATTCAAATTTCAAGCCTTGATCCTACACTTATTCAGCTACACTTATTCAGCTTTTGGCTTACTGCACCTCTATGGATAACCTCATACCTTCATTTCTTTTGTTGGAAAATGCAATGTGCATGTCCCTGAAGTGGAAACATGGAAATTACACAGAAAAGGATACGACAGAAAAAAGGTTGAAGAGCAGTAAACAGGAACTGAACCAATTTTATTGCTATATAAAATGTATTAAGACTAGAACCCCAACCAATCTCTAAAACTGATAGCTGCCTCTCACTCTAAACAAGACTAGAAAAGAAAACTTCCAGCACCAAAAGCAGGCAAGGATAAAATAACAAATCATGTCAGTTGCTCACAAAAACCAAACCCATCTCAAACACACTTCTTTTTTTGCCATACCACAAAATCATACATGCAACAGATTGTTTTGGGGCTAAAATTTCAGAATCAAGCCATCTTAAAGAAAATTCTCACGCATATCAAGGTGCAACATAAATTTCACAACAGAAACCAAAGTTTCCAATCATCTCATCCTACATGCATCTAGGCAGAGTTCTGTTCAGAACAATCAAAAATAGATTTGTCCCCTTGCACTGCACGATTTTCATTTGTCCAGGTTGACTTTAACAACAGACAAGCTTCATCACTGATAGTGACATCCACCAACGAGAGCAACCTAGACCGGTGGAAACTATTTGTGTAGGTTTAACTTTAGTAACGGAAGAATTCATTACTAGAAATGACTCTTATTATGATGCTATCTTCTTGTAGGGTATATAAGAATAATGCTTGCACATATTAAGATCACCCAAACCAGCTTCGTCCTTTAATGTTTACACTGGTAGCATGCTCCCAACTATTTCAGAAGACACCAATAAACAAAGAAATGGGACTGGAGGACAGAAACCCTTACCTATTCAGAAGGGAAAGCAGCAGATAAAAATTCTTCATCCTCAACGAATAATTGCAAATTCTTGGACTTCATTAAGAACCCAACTGCTTCCTCATTGAACTCCAGGAGAAAGCCTAACTTGATCAACTCAGCTAGTGAACCTATTTGATCTTCTTTCTCCCAGAGCACTCCCTCTGATATAACTTCAGAAAAGTAAGTAGCATATTCAAGAAGAAACTTGTGTCCACCAGATTTGTCCATTTTCTGCGTGAAAAACTTTGAACTCTCTCTATCCCAACGCACCATCCGGCTTGCTTTCACTTTTAAGATTTGCCCGCAAGATAATGATAGACTATAGCACACAGTAATGGGCTCCGGACTCTCAAAGACCTCAACATTGAGGAGGCACTGAACAGCTTCATGCCTTTCCTTGAATTCCATTTCAAAACAAGGATCAGCTAGAAATCCAAGCATGAGCCTAACAAGTCCTTTGCCAAACACAGTATCTTTTGAATTGATCTGCTTGAAATCACTGCCAGCTGATAAGGATAATTCTTCCATTTGAACAGACTCAGAGATTTTGCGAACCCCGATGCTTCTGTACGCATCCAGCAACTTTGTCCGAGGAAGAGATGGCAAGCTTGGCTGAGAATACCAGACAAATATCTGGTGAGTAGATAATTGTTCAAAAAGATCCTTCAGAAGAAGATCATCACCAATGAACACATCCTGCTTTTTAGATAACAAAATCTCGCCTGAGCCAGATCCAATAGGTAGCTTCTCTATATTATCTGAAAGACTTCGTATTATTGTTGGGCTCCTATGCCTTACAACAAACTCCCAAAATGCACTACATTCAGTATGAGACAACCTGTGTCCTGTGCTTTCCCAGAGTTTCCAGAGCTTGCAATAATCGTCAAGGGAAGGAGCAGCTCTAACATTTAATACACTAGAGAAGAATGTCAGTAGATCTGACTCGTAGTATTTTTCCAAAACACACAATTGCGAACCAAAGAGACCATTTTTGTCATGCAGAACACATTTCATAGAGTCTACCCATTCTCCACTCTTGTTGCCATCTGGGATCCAAATCCTGCTTACATCATCTGTTTCAGGCTTCCATTTAAAGGCTTTCAGGAATTTATACATTCGAACTATGGTGTTAATTTCAGAATGGAAGCCAAGGTAGCTGGCAAGCAAAGCACATGCCTTCTCTGCATCAACAATAACTCCGATTGCATTAAGCTCTTTTCTGTATGATTGAATTTGAGGACCATAAAACTCTTCATCAATGAATGGCCCATCTGTTGGCTTCAAAAACAAGCTCCAATTAGAATCAAACAGCAAGCACTGATTTGGACTCATGTACCCAGCATAGGTCTTTAACCATCTTTGTGAAACTTTCTTCAAAAATGTCCCAGTTAATGAATAATTTGCCCTTTCCAATGAAATTCCAATGAATTTCAGCAATGCAAGTGCATTTTCTGAGGTGACATAACAGGGGTCCGGGGGAAAACAAAGACCATTATCATCAACTACATACTTTGCACCACCTTTAAGTTCAAGAATAACTCCCATACTCTTTAGCTCCTTTCGATATTCATGAATTCCCTTGCCATAGTAATTGTCACTATCATCAATAAAGGGGAGGAGAGCAATTGGAGAGATAGATTCCCATTCTGGACCAAACAAAATGCACTCTCTGGGATATCTAAAGTCACCAAGTCGAGTCCGCAACCACTTCACATCATGTAAGCAGCTCTTCAAATCTATAGGAAATTTAAGGGACGTACCTTTCAGTTGCCTGTAACATGACAAAAATGCCATGACAGTGTCTTTTGTAATAAAAGACAATGAAGCCAGCTTCTTAAAATTAACAGCAAATGCTTTGGCAGCATCGTCAAATTCCACAACAACTCCAATCTTCTTCAACTCTGTTCGGTAAGAGAATATACTGCTTCCATAGAAGTCATGATCTAACACAGCAAAACCACCAAAAATGTTTAGAAGGCAACCCCATTCAGGATCAAACAGAAAACATTCAGAAGAAGTTCTGTAGCCCGAATTTGTTTTCAAGAATTTCCCGCTTTTAAGTGTGTTAACCAATTTTTCAGAAGATCTTAAATGTCGAATGCACTTCAGGATCAAAAGAAGTGCATCAGACGTTAAGGGAGTTAAGGATGATGCTGATTTCAGGTTGCAAGCGACGAGCTGATAACTTTCACTAAATCCAACTGTGACACCAAGCAGCTGGAGCTCTGTTTTAAAACACATGATCTCCTCACCATAGTACTCTTGATCAATGAAGGGAATGTTACTGATAAGTGATGCAGCTTTCCATTCCTGATCAAACAAAACAGATTCGGCCGGAGACCTTTCACCACAACGTGTCCTCAGCCATCTCCCCTCTCTAATACTCTGGATGAATTCATTTGGTGAAAGAAGTTGTGCTCGCAAATATCTGATGAAATTAAGAATTGAAAGAACGTTACTTTTAGTTAAGGTAGAGGATTTAGCGAGAGACATGAGACGCTTCCCAATGAAGTTACATGCATCTCCATATCCAAACATGACACCCATTATTTTTAACTCTTCCTTGTATTCTGCTAGCTTATCACCATAAAAACTCTGATCAACTAGTGGAATATCGACAAGCACAGATCCGTTCTGCAGAATGTTTCCCCACTTTGAGGTGTAGAAAAAAGACTCTGATGGTGGTCTGTAACCAGAAGAACCATTCATTGTAATCCTCAGCCAGCTACCCTCCTTTATGCTTGTCAAGAACTTCTCCGGAATGCGAGCTCCCCTATGCCTAAGACAACGAATCCAATCCAACAGCAAGAACACATTTTCCTTAGTTAAGGGCCCATACACGGCAGAAATCCCGGCATTCGCAGGATGCAAAGAAGGTATATCAGAAACACCAAGATTCTTTTCTAGGAACTGTATGAGTTGCTCCCCAGATATGCTTTCACCAGCAAAATTGCCAGGAAGCAAATAATCTTCCCCTAACTCAACATAACCTTCTTGTCTCCATGGATTAGAAACAAGCAAACATGTCCATCTACTGTCATTAGCAGGAACAAGAACACCATTTCTTCTTGTTGTCACATTTCCATAATTATCAACAAGTGGCACATTACCATACAAACTATCAAATTTCCCTACTGATAGAAAATTTTTGGTAGATGAGTGATACAGGAAGTGTGCATAGGCAACAACAAGTTTCCTGTCACCAATGATATATTTACGAACAAGATCTGCATAATCAGATACATCCAGTGCAACAACATTCACCCTATCTTGCAACCATTCTAAGATTGATTCTTTTCTAGAACATGATTGGATTGCCACTTGAGTTGTACTTGGAAGGAAAAAATAATTTGCCACACATCTGAATTCTTTGTTGCAATTAATCAACCAATCGGCATGATGAAGGTGAGTGGACATGCACAACACCCTTCGATTATTTCGACCAAAGGCATCATCAATGCTGCTCAACGAGATACTTCCATCCATACTAACATATTTTATCAGTGGTACTGATGTTATGCTGGTAGAGTGAAATTTGGACTGCCAATTATCAATGAGAAAAAGAAGAAGCTTCATATAAACATATTCAGGCACTCCAAGTATGAGATTGGAACTCTTAATGCATTTAACATACCACTCACAGTTGACAGGCATTACTCCCAAGAAGTTCAGTATGTGATCATAAGCTGGTTTATCAAATGAGGAATGCAAGATATATCTTCCATGTGATGATAGGTTATGTAAACTTACTCCATTCTCCCTTGCCTTTTTTAAAATATTCCAGAAAGTATGAACTAGTCTGCCAACTTCACTGGGTTTATGAAAGAACTTTTGCTGCTTGTATGACTCACTTGGAACAATATTTTCTTCAACCAACTTTACCCTGATTGATTCCCTTACAGCATTCAATTTCTCATAAGAAGAACTGTTGACTGGCAAGAAGTCAAACATCCGAGGCAAACTAGAGACAGGGGCATCTTCTGCTGTTTTCACCAGTGAGATGAAGGCATTAATAAAAGCAGAAGGGAGACAGTCTAGAATCCCTTGGTTCCATTTGTCATCCAACAGTATTGTTTCTCTTGATGATTGTAACACAAAATCTGCTTGAATTATGAAGGGAAAGCCTGTCACCATCTCTGTTGGAAGAAATGCATAGACCCCAGGTAAGTTTGACCCTCTATGAAGTCGCTCTCCAATAGGAAAAGCCAAATTGATCACCCATTCCTCAATCTCCATTCTCCTATCAACTTTGTTCTCTGGCCTGACCGGAAATTTCTGCTTCCACATGTAATAGCCACATTCTCTTTTCAAATTGACATTATTTTCATCAGCAGAGAGGTGCAGAGTGTAGGACTCAGCATCAATATTCTTCCTCATGAGAAAATTAGTCTCACTTGTTATAGATATTGCACTTACAGTATTCAACTTGGGATCCTCGTTATCTTCCTTAACTGAAAGGCACTTAATCTTGGAGAGGAATAAAAGAACTTCCGGATGAACACTAGAGAGCTGCTGCTTAACAGGTTTGACCTTATCAGGTTTCAAGGGCAAGATTATTGTTGTAGTTGGAAGGGCTGGACCAGATCCATATATTTGTTTAATGTCTGAAATTGTGGGGCTTTCTTCCACCCACTCAGGAACAATGTACCCAAGATTGCAACGTGGGCAAGGTCCTTCATTAAATCTTATCTGATAGCCATTGCTGAAGACATAAGGCTGAGCGGTTATCAGAAAGACACTCTTAAACCCAATCCCTGCCAATCATATAGTATACATATTATCACTCACATAAGGATTTAGAGAGTAGTTTTCTTATTCAGAAGGGAAACTTGGTGAGGGGGGACAGGAGAGATATAGTTGAGCTATTATTAGAAAAAGGAAATTACTAAAATAAAAGGTTAAGCAATATTCAAATAATACTAAGCCTAAAGGAAAATTATTATTAAAGGTGAGTGAGAGTGAGAGAGAGAGAGAGAGAGAGAGAGAGACTATATAAGAAAAACTTGATATAGAAAATTACTATTCTAATATGGTAACCTTCTAAAATTCCCTCAAACTTAAGATGGTGACCATACAAAAAGTTGATGATGTACAGATGTTTTAAATTTATTTCTTAAAATATGATAGACTTAACTACATCGACTAGCATATCAACAACGGACTGACAATGTTTAGCGTCAATCTGCTGTTCAACAATGATTGTCACACATAGACAACATTAAATGTTCTTGCAGATTAACACTGATGTTGCCATTATCCAGCAGTCAGAAAGACCTGCAGTAATTGCAAGGTTAAGTGCCTCGAACACACCCTTAGAAGATGAATACTTCCATATTCTAATTTCATGAATAGGAATATGAATACAATATAAAGAAGATAGAAATTTAAATTATGCATCTTTAAAGATCTAGAAAAGGATAAGTAATATTTAGGAATATAATAAAACTAAAATAGATTTTAACCAAATACAACGTAATAAGAATACTGAATCATCTTGCGATCTTGGCTTATAAAGTGAAGAAAATGGTTACCACACCTTTTTCCCCAATGTACCCACGTTTTCTGTTGCCTCTCTTAGTGGATCGTCCAACACTGCAAATGGACTCTATGTTCTTGGGGGAAAAACCTTTCTCGTTGTTAAATATCAGTAATGTGGCCGGAGCTCCAGTGGCAGTTATATCGCGAGAGGTAATGACAAACTCAAGTGAAGGATCCACTCCCTCGGGATATTCGTTGTCTTCAGCATTCTGCAATAAGGATCAGGTTCAGATTCTTTTCCTCAATTAAATTTGTAAATTATTTTACATAGAAATTAGAGAAAGCAAAAGGAAAACTAGAACTCTAGCTAACAGGCCTGTCTTTGACATTAATTAACATGAGATGGAAGTAATTATCCGCTTCAGAATCTTTATTTTGTTAAGAATTCAGAGTTTAAAATTACAATTTCGTAATCAATCTTAATGAAATGTTATCATTGACAATCAGACAAATACTTATATGCTATCATGGTATCATTGGGTACTCGAGAAATGGAACGAGAAGATAAGAAGCTCACTTATTCTAAAGTACGGAAAGGAACTTGGCAACGCTGCATTTGGTAAACGGAGAATATTTTGCTCGCTCTGTGGTTTTTACTTAGTAATTAAAAAAGAAAATTAAGATTTCCGATTATAATTTTTACACGACTTTATTTCATGGCAGATCTCGACAGCTCCTAAAAACAATCATGGCTAAAAAAATGTGAACTAAAAAGAAATTCACATGAACGAAGGTCAAAAAGGACAAGTACATCTCAGTAAGATTGTCACGGTATTATTTCCTTCATTTTTCTTTCTTGAGAAACAAACGAAAATCATAAACTGCACAACTTCATCGCCATCATCAACAGAACATGAAAGGTGAGAGAAGACAACAATCATCATCGCTACAATTCATCATAAACGTGAAGAGAGACAATAGCACATATACAAATTTATACATGCATCAAGCAAAAACCAGACGAGAAAGAAAGGAAGAAATGACTGAGTAGAGACCTGGATGAGTTCCATGAGAAAGTGAACATCCTTGGTGTAGAGCTCAGCAGAGAGGTGCTTAACAGCCTGGTGAAGATCTTCTATGAGTGGATTCGCTTCTCCGCCGATAGCAAACTTGGACTTACGTATATGGTCTATGTGTTGTCTTGGTGTTGCCATTGTTGTTTACGAAAGTAAACAAGAAGCAGAAGCTATGTTTTGTAACAGAGAAAACAGAGAGGAGAGAGAAATGGATCGGTTGAAGGAAAGCAGAGTGAAGCTGTAGGAAACTTATCAGAGAAGGAAACTTGTTGAAGAAGGAGAAAATTTGAAAAATTACCAAACAGTAAACAAAATAAAACAAATCAAATAATGATTTTTGGTGACGTTTACTCTCCACGAGGACCAATTTGACCGCCCATTTGACCGTCTGTTAAATTTGGAAATTGCAACAATGAAAAAGCAAAAAAAAAAAAAAAAAAGTATTTTCCAATTAACCAATTAATATATTTTATTTTTAAAAACAAATCGTAGATTTTATAATTAATTGATTCCTAAAATAACAGAATATTTTAACAATTCTGCAATAAAAATATACAAAATAAACAGCCCACAACAAACAATCTTTTAAAAAATTTTATAATAACAAAATCTTTTTAAAAATAACAAAATTTTATCTATTGGATAATTTTTTGGGTAATTTTATCTCTTTGATAATTATAATTAAATTAGATAATAAATTTTACATTTTTAAAAAATTGATAATTCTCATCTTCTAATAATTAGAATATAAATTCTAAATTAATTTTATAAATAAAATTCATATGAATGTTGCACAAACTTTTCCTCAATGATTTAATTCTTAGATATTTCTATATAATCATAATACAATTTACATAATATTGCAATTAGTCGTCTGTGTTACACCATAAAGACACATTATAACGTACAATTTTTATTTTTCAATGTGTAAAATAATGTTAATCTTTTTTATGTTTTTATTCTATTATGATATTATTGTACAATAAAAATTATTTTAATAGGAATTTTGAATATTGAACTTGAAGTCAGCAATTAACTTTTAATTTTTCATATGCAAATATCTCTCCCATAAAATGGTGTCGTATGTTTCATGGGAGATTTTGTATTAATTCTCAATAATTATGTGTTAATAAAAAAAAAATTTATTTAGTACATAATTTGTTTGAAGTTTTAACTTCGGAGTGTGATCGTTTATGAAATGTCTCATTAACATAAATGAGAGTAACAAATATTATAAATGTGATTGGTTGATTTTAAATTTTTATTAAAAATTATGTAGATAAAATTCATTTCTACTCTTTAAACAACTAATAATTTCACATTTTAAAGGAGCTTCATATTAGTTATATAATTTTTTGAGTACTAAATTAGTTTTAAAATAAATATTTTTTATTTAAAATAAACATTCACTGGTTTTTTATTCTTTAAGATTACAAAAAATTAAAGTAATTAAATTACGTTTGAATACTTTAAGAAATAGTTCCAAAAATAAATTTAATTATTTAAATAAATTATTAATAATATTAAACATATTTTTATTGTTACTAATTTATTTATTTGATTAATTAATTTTAAATTAATTTTTTAAAATATTTAAATATGATTTAATTATTTTAATTTTTTTATTATGAAATGAAATAAAATTGACAATTTGAAATAAATAAAAAATATAAAAACCAAGTTATAACTAAAAAGTATTAAAAATTAAATTTTAACAATTATCAAATATTATAAACTAATTTTGTAAAACTCAGGTCCAGAATTTAGGACATGCATAATTATATTGTAATGATCCGGAACTTAAAGGAAATAAATTTATATTTATAAATAGTAAAACAAACAACAATGTTAGGGTTGCATTTTTTACACTGTAAATTTGAATGCTCAATAAGGTTACGAGAATATATCTTCCACAGCGGTTCGTAAAAAAAATGAATAAATGATTAAAAATAAGTAAATAAATGTCTTAGGGAGTTAATCTCTATTAGCACTTGATGGGATCCGAGTGGTAGTCTACTCATAACCCTCATGCTGATTAGGATTTGAATCTTATTCTTCTTGATCTGAAATGGTTAATAAAAAAGTAAGTTACACTAACCTAATAAGAATATCACGTTAATCACTAATACAGGAAACTGAATATTGGTAAAAATAATAAAATAACTAATAGAGCGTTTTATTTAAGTAAATTCGTTTAATATAAAAAAAAATTATTTATCTCATACTTACCATTGCGAGTTTTTCAAACTCAACTCATAAAGACGAATACTCATATGTTATGATTTCATGTACAAATGAACATGATTAGCAATTCTCCTTTTAACCTATTTACTGGAACTCTTAGGAGTCCATATGGATATTCTCCTACTCATGAACCCAATACCTAGATTTGTCAGTTAACCTGGTCGTCCTTATACCCCGTCCGGTAATAGACGTCAAACAAACCATCTCCTCGATACTCTATCCGATATGAGGGTGAATCATATCTCCCAAACC